TAGTTGAGAGCGCTTGCTTGCCTCTAGCAAGCAGAGCAGACCCAAGAAATTGCCACAAGAAACATGCTTTACTCTATTCTTTTCCAAGCTTTCTCAGGCTTTCTGTGGACTCAGTTACCTACACGTCTGGGCGCCATCTGTTGAAATAAGAGCAGCGGGGCTGCGTTCCCAGCACCCCGGCCGCCTGCTTGGCTACCTTATGCCTGAAATAACAACACACAAACTGTATTCATTTAAACACTGCTTGGCCCATTTCTATCTAGCCTCTTCTAGGCTAACTCTCGCACCTGGACTAGCCCTTTTCTTATCATCTGTGTAGCACTGGTCTTACTGGGAAGATTCTAGCCTACATCCATCCTGGGTCGGAGCTTCCTCCCGTGCATCTTCCCGGGAGTGGGGAGCATGGCGTCTCTCTGAGGCGTCTGCTCCCAAGAGGAGAGCTGTGGAGTCTGAGCTCACTTCCTCTTCCTCCCAGCATTCTGTTCTGTTTACTCCACCTACCTATGTTCTAACCAATATAATGGGCCAAGGCAGTTCCTTTATTAGCCAATGACCTTCCTCCATCATCCCATTTATTATTTGTTTCTTTCAGTGTCTGTGCTGCTGGAGTTATATTTAAGAAGTGGTTCCCTGTGCCAATGAGTTCAAGTATTCTTCCCACTTTCTCTTCTTTAAGGTTCAGTGTGGCTGTCTTTTTGTTGAAGTTTTGATCCATTTTGACTTGAGTTTTGTACATAGTGATAGATATGGGTCTATTTTCATTCTTCTATATGTTGATATCCAGTTGTACCAGCACCACTTGTTAAATCTGCTTTTTTTCCATTTGATAATTTTTTTGCTTTTTTATCAAAGATCACATGTTCGAAGATGTATGGATTAATATTTGGGTCTTCTATTTGGTTCCATGTGTCCTCCTTTCTGTTCTTATGCCAATACCAGGCTGTTTTCAGTACTATAGTTCTGTAGTAGAGTTTTCAGTTTGTTTATATGATGGATTACACTGACAGATTTTCATATGCTGAACTATCCTTGCATCTCTGAGATGAAACTGACTTGATCATGGTGCATGATGGTTCTGATGTGTTCTTGGATTCAACTTGTCTAGAATAAGTGACAGACCATTTTCAGAGGCAAGAAATTTTTCAAAACTGTCTTGCCCTGTCTTGGCAAGATTTGACAGTCCTCTTTATCCATTTCTGGATACTACATATCTTGTCAGTGGTTGAGGCATTGACATTTCTTTGCCCAATCGCCAGTTTTTGCCAAGAAGAAAACAAGCTCCAATCGGAGTGTCTTTGGTGCTCAACATTCTCTTGGGAATAGATCGGTGCTGTCAGGAGCAATTTTGTCTCACTTCAACAGAACTGTAAGTTGTTTAAATGCCATTTTCTACAGCTCTTTAAAGTGGTTGAAGATCATCTATCTATGTAGAATATAATCTCTATGTATCTAAAGAACCTGATTAGTCAAACTATAAGTATGACTATAGATGACTATTGATCTTAATAATTTTTAATTATTGATTAATAATTCTTAATACTTATATAATGTAAAGACTAAGACAATAAACAACTGTGCAATAAATGAGGATAATGTCCTCCAAATGTAAACAATGTGTAGTATCTTGATCAGAGGTAGAAATGTACACTGCAATATGATATATATATATATAAATGTTTTAAACAGAGGTAGAAACATGTATGCATATAATATTCAATATAATTTAACTTTGTATCAATATATAAGAATCTATACAAATGTAATTGTCTATAAATAATAGCTCACAAGTATTTACTCTATTAATCACTATTATTATTAGTGTGAGTAAACTCATACCAATCTATTATCCCATCCAATTTTCCTTTTTTTTGAGAGATCCCTGAGCTTATAAAATTTCCCCCTAACTCCCAACCCTATACCAGTTATAATCAAACCCTAAATGATGACCTAACCCTGAGGACAAACTTTTTTGGAAGGGGGGTTGTCATACTTCTAGCTGTCGTGGGGGCAACCTTCTTTCTAGAGGATCCTGTGAAAGTAAAATGATGGTTAAGTTTCAAGATTAATGTCTGGTATGATTGCAAGTAGTCTCTGAGTATTTTGTGGAGGTCTGGCCAGAACGTAAAAAATGTGCACCATTTGAGCTAACTAAGTTGGAACCATCTTGTGCAGTTGGTACCAGAGATGGTCTTGTAGTAGTGCTATCAGCATCACGACGTTATGTCAATCAGGTGGAGTTGTTGTGGGGCCCCATCTTCTGCCTGGAAGCTTCAAATGTCACTGTACAGAAATTCATTATTCATTGCAGAAAACTTAAGCATCATTATATAGACATATATATTCAATGAAAGGTATGATAAATACAATAATAGATATGAAGAAGAATAAAATTTTTCTAAATTGTTTTTTGTTTCTGTCCCATATCAAATAGCTCTTGATATGATATTGAAATTCTGGATTTTTTTTTCTTTTAACAACATGTTTGGATTGAAAGAAGGACAGAGTCATTGTCCAACTCTAAAACCAGCTCTATATATTCATAAGTATAAATACATACATATATATGTACATATATAAATATTTTTTGTTCTTACGAATGATAGTTGATTTTCTTGATGATCCTTATGGGGTAGTTATTTTTCCATCTGTCATTATTCAGACAGCAAGGGTCTCTTGAATTTTTGTAGATGAGTGTTTTCCTGCAAAGACAAGAACAGAACCCAGCCTTCGTCCTATATGCTTTCCTTACCACCTGTATTGTTATCATCATTGTGGATGAGCTCCAAGAGGTTTCTCCTCTTCAAACCAAATCTTTATTAATTTTGATGGTATACATAATTTTTCATCTCCTGTGGAAACATGAGCAAAACTGCTTTTCCAATGCAACACATCTGGCTTCCATTTTGAGGTCAGTACATCTTTGAAATAAACTGGTTGATTTAATTCAGCAGACTTTTCCATTATCCAATGTCTTTCTGCTGCTGTTGTTCCTTTCTCATTGGCATTAAGAAAATTCAAGATCAATAAAGCATTATGTAATCTATTTTAGGGGGCATTTTCTACCCCTGTTTGTTTGTTTAAGATATCCCTTATAGTTTGGTTTAATCTTTCTAAAACTGCTTTCCTTTTAATCATTAACCTGAGCAGCTCCTAAGGTGGACCCAAAGCATGCTGGGTTTTAAAGTTATTGTTTCTTATATAAAATGATTACCAGAATATTGATCTTCTATTGCTTTGCTTATGGTAGAAAATGACTTAAATATGAAACTTAAAACAAGAAGAAAAAAAGCCTAGTTGTTCTGGATGCTAGAACATGTCTTTAACCTAGCACTCAAGAGGCAGAAGAGTTTAAGAACACTGTAGTCTACATAGATTGGTCAGGGATGCAGAGTGAGATTTTGTCTCAGAAAGAAATGAAACCACTTGTCTGCAACAATAGAAAATTTACAAAACTATCAAGAATGCCTAGAAAAGTACACTGATGAAGCAAGTCAGGTTGCAATAAATACTAAGAAATTCATTTTGTGGGACAGTCTATGTAAGATAGTTTTAAACAAAAAAGACAATATGAAATGGTAAATGCAAATACAAAGAAAATAATTTGATGGGATTCCCTGAAACTGAAAAGCTTCTGTAAAGTAAAGGACACGATCAATGAGACAAAACGGCAATGAACAGAGTGGGAAAAGATCTTCACCAACCCCACATCAGACAGAGGGCTGATCTCCAAAACATAGAAAGAACTCAGGAAATTAGATATCAAATAACCCAATAAAAATAGGGTACCGTACTAAATAGAGAACTCTCAACAGAAAAATATAAAATGGCTGCAATACACTTAAGGAAATGCTCAATATCCTTAGCCATTAGAGAAATTCAAATAAAACTCTGAGATTGCATCTTTCCCTTTAAGAATGACCAAGATGAAAAACACTGATGACAACTTATGCTGGAGAGAATTTGAGGTAAAAGGAACACCACTCCATTACTGGTGGGAGTGCAAATTGGTATAATCACTTTGGATATCAGTATGGAGATTTCTCATAAAATTGAGAAAAAGCATACCTCAAGACCCAGGAATTCCACTTTTGGGTATATACCCAAAAGATGCTCAATCATACCACAAGGACATTTGCTCAATTATATTCATAGCAGAATTGTTTGTCAAAGACAGAACCTGGAAACAACATAAATTCCCCTCAACCAAAGAATGGATAAGGAAAATATGGTACATTTACACAATGGAATACTACACAACAGAAAAAAAATCCACTGAAATCTTGAAATTTATGAGCAAATGGATGGATCTAGGAAAACATTATATTGAGGAAGACAAATACCATATGGACTCACTCATAAGTGGTTTTTAGATATAAATCAACGAAAAACTGATCTACAATTCACAACCCAACGAACCTAGAAAACAATGAGGACCCCAAGAAAGACATACATGGATCTAAACTACATGAGACATAGAAAAAGACAAGATGTCTTGAGTAAATTAGGAACATAGGGACTATGGGAGAGGGTAGAATGGGAGAAAAGAGGAATGGAGGGGAGTAGAAGACAATATATAGCTCAATAAAAAGAATTTAAACAATTAAAAAAGAAAATATTTAATTTTAAAAGAAAGTTGTTTTATAGTCACACCTTATTTTAAGGAGGGAAACAAAACCAACATTTTTCTTTATATTGTTCATACTCAAGATAAAATAAAATGGGCTTTCTGTTTTAGGAAGAATGCTATCTCCTGGTTCTTTGTGAGCCAAGTAATTAAATGGTATCTCTTTATCATTATCTTTAGAACAGAACATCTCTGTTCAAACATTGAGAGAAAATAAAAATGCTTTTGAAGTTTGTAGATCAATAAGAACTTCCTGCTTTGCACAAAGCTCAAAAGGTCAAGCCCACAATCCACTAGAAGATGCCAGGAGTTAAAAGATGCTTAAATACTGGGGCCTGCCAGCTGTGAGCAGTTGCACAGCCGAATCCCAAGCAACATGAAGTCTCTTCTTAACCTGCTGCTCCTCCTGTTTTTTGTCATCATCAACTCCAAGGTCTATAAGCCCTGTGAGTTCGCCAGAACTATGAAAAGAAGTGAAATGGATGGCTATAGGGGATTCAGCCTGGAAAACTGTAAGTCTCCTCTACTTGACCCAATCAGATAAGCACCCCCTGAGAACAGGTACATAGAAGCAATGAGTGAGCAGAGAGAGAGAGAGAGCTGGAGTCAATAAGCTTTGGGATTCCTGTGTGTTTGCCTTAGTTTGCTTAAAAACATTCTTGTTTTTTCATCAGTGATACTGGGGTGATGATATGGGAGGGGACATTGGTGCTTTGCAAAGGCAATAGGACCTGAGGTGCTCTTGTTGTATCACCGGGTTGTCCAGTTACTTCACATTCAATAGTCCCGAAGGGTCTGAGAAAATATGCGAGAACTGACTCATTCAGAACTTGAGTTATGAGAATCTGGAGTGATTGGTATCTGTCTTTACTTCTCTTTCCATGGTATAGACCTTCTTAGAGAAATTTTCAAAGTTTTTCACTTTCTTATGCAAGGCAGAGGGATCCTAGTTTCCTCAGTTGCTGCTTAAATGTGTCTTCTGAAACTGCAAATAAAATTATTTGGCATGCTTCTTCACTCTGGGATGCCCTCTTGTTCTGCAAAACAAGGATGAGGAAAAGTTGTTCACAACTTCCCACATCTAGTGTGCTTTTCAGATTTGAAAAAGCAGGTTAGTGCTCACCAAGTGATTTTTAACGAACAAGTGAACAGACAAATGCATATGTGGAGATGGATGGATGGATGAATTGGTGACTAGCCTTTCCTGTTCTAGTATTCTCTTTTCAATATTCTCATCAGGCATTTGAGATGGTACACAACCTGGAATTCAAGCAATGAGACACAAAAGCAAAAGACTGAATATTCTGGGACAAAGTAAGATACTTTGATGTGGGAGTGATTTCTTTCTAATCTGTTGCTTTCATTGGTTAATTAATAAAGAAACTGCCTAGGCCCATTTGATAGGCCAACCCTTAGGTAGGCAGAGAAAACAGAACAGAATGCTGGAAAACAGAAGCTAAATCAGGGAGTCGCCATGATTCTCCCACTCCAGACAGACACAGGTTAAGATCTTCCCTGGTAAGCCACCTCGTAGGCTACACAGATTATTAGAAATGGGTTAGATCAATATGTAAGAGCTAGCCAATAAGAGGCTGGAACTAATGGGCCAGGCAGTGTTCAAAAGAATACAGTTTCTGTGTAATTATTTCAGGTAAAGCTAGCCGGGTGACAGGACACAGCCCACCGCTCTTACTACAATATTTAGTGACACAGAGAGGAAAAAAGAATTCTAAATTGACATGCAAATTCAGCTTGGTTATAAGAATGTTTCTCTGAAGAAATCCTTACTTTTCTCATAGTCACATCTTCTATGTATTTGATGTTAGTTTATAAAATTCAACTAATCCCTATTTGTGTTTCTATTTTATGCAGTGGTATCTTGAGGATAGATGTGGGAGGGAAAACCAATTGAAGAAATAGCTATATTACTTTAGTGATTAGAGCACAGTTTCATGTAAAGAACTGAGTGGCCTGGCATTTTCTTTGTAGACCAGGCTGGTCTCAAATCCACACAGATTTGTCTGCCTCTGTCTAACAACAGCTAGGAATAAAATCGAGCACCAGTGTGACCAGTTCATCTACTTGAGTATTTAAAAAAGTTCTTCTGTTTGTTCTCAAACTGAATTGTCATCAAAGAGATTTTTTGGGGGGCACTTGAAAGTCACTTGATGACTAGGTACAGCAGTTCCATCTACTGGAAAGGCAGAGGGAGGGAGACAGGTATGGGAAGGGGAAATCACTTGAGGCCAGAGATTACCCTGAATAACACAGCCAGACCTGACCTGAACTAGTGGTAGCATATTTTATAATTTAATCATATGGTGGTACTTATAAAGTAAATCACTTGTAAAATACAGCCAGCTAATTTTGATATCCAAAATGAATCATTTGCTGTTGCTGCTTATTGATGAATATCGTTTTTCTTTTCAGGGATGTGTTTGGCTCAACACGAGAGTGGCTTTAACACAGGAGTTGTAACCTACCACCGTGGACACCAAAGCACCAGTTATGGGATATTTCAGATCAATAGCAGACACTGGTGTAATGATGGCAAAACCCCCAAAGCAGTGAATGCCTGTGGGATACCCTGCAGTGGTAAGACAAAGCAAGTTTACAAGGATAGCAAGTAACTCACCTGCTTTTACATGCAAAAACAGAGATTCTGTGCAGGAGACAACACTGAAGGAAACATCAGGAACCTGGGGAGACTCTCTTGACTGTTAATTCATTGTTAAGCATATCAAAACTAGCCAAGGAAGACAATAGGCTCAAGGCATAGCTTGGTGATAGAATGCCCTGCCTACCAAACAGAGGTTCCTTGAGTCCACTTCAAAATTTCTGAATGAATAAACAAAATAGAACCTGACAAGATAGCTCAGACAATAGAATCTCCTAAGACCCTCGGAACCCAAATAAAAACTGAGTTGGTGACATGCATCTGTAAGGGAGTCTGAGACAGGCAGACCAATGGGATTCACTGACCAACAAGCATCACCTAATCCTTAAGTCAGTTCCAATCGCTGACCCTGTCTCAGAAACAATGTGGACTGCTTTAAGAGAGCAGCTCCTTAGACTGTCCTGTGACTTCTATATGCACAAACACACATGTGCAGGTTCACTCATGCACATACCACCACACAGTGACACAAATGTTAATAGAAAATTAAAAAATAAAAACCTGGTATCATACAAACTTTGTGGGGTTTTTGAAACCTATTCTCACAGGCACTCACCCATACACAGACACATCATTAAATTAAAAAAAATATTTCTAAGGAATTGTCATTTTATAACAAATGTTTCTGGAATATGTGCCACTTTATTCTAAGTCTCCTTCTGCATATTTTGTCCTGAAGATTTCTATTCTGGCTGTTACCTTAGGCATACTTATGGTTATTGTTGTACGGTCATTTTAAATAAATGAATTTTATTACACAGATTTCTATTATGTACAAATGAAGATATCTCTATAATAAAGACCATATGAGGGAGGGGAGCAGAGAAAAATGTAGAGCTCAATAAAAATCAATAAAAAAGATGTGAAGAATTAAAAAAAATGACCATATGCTAGGGTATCACTAACTCACTGGTATTTTGTTCAACTGGTTTTTACTTATATGAACTGATGTGCTCTTAGTTTTGAGAGACCTTATAGTGAACTACTAATGTCAAATTTTGACTTAAGCTTGTTAGAATGCATGTCCAGACAATCTAATTCTTTGACTTAATAAAATAACATAGATTTATATGCTTAAGATAAACTTATTCTTCATAAGAATAAAAGAAGTTTATGTTGACAGGGAATCCTACATCAAGTTTATAACAGGGTGGAGGCCTGGGATGGTGCGACTTGAACTCATACAGTTGCAGAAGTAATATGTAATTTGTAGTGCATGAAGAAAATGGTCTATTCTGCCATGGTGGGAACTGAACTGAAGACTAGCTACATTTTAGTCAAGCACTCTAAGCAGTGAACTATTCATTTCTACTCTGTTAAAGTTGGTTACTAAAATTTTTAAGAGAAATGAGATGTGGAACATTTTAAGCCTACATAGCCTGTGTTTGAAGGCATATTAGAGACTCATCTGTAGTCATTAAAAGGGAATAGAAACTATAGGGAAAGAGGAATATCACTCGAAATTTGCCTGCTAAGAGTGTTGATGTAAATGGAGATCTTTGGAAAACATTCTTCTAGACTTTAAATCTATGCTGTAGGTCCATGTAGAGTTATATCATGCACAGATGTATTCACATAGGAACGTGTAAAGATTTTACAATTATACCCAAATTAAATTATATTTGCATGGGTTCATAAGTTAGTTATTATTTAAAACTACATTCATAGAAACTAATTTTTGCCTGGCATATCATTATAGTGAATAAAACTGCAGCAGCAATATTCTCTATGCTGAAAATACAACGCTTAAGTCTTGAGTCTTTTCTTTTTAAGGCTTATTTATTTATTATATTTACAGTTTCTACCTGCATGCCTGAAAAGTGCACCAGAGCTTATTAAGATGACTGTGAGCTACTTTATGATTGCTGGGAATTGAACTCAAGATTCTGGAGATGAGTCAGTGTTCTTAATCTTGAGCCATCTCTCAAGCCCCAATTCTTGAGTCTTAGAGCACCTGGCTCCTTTTATTTAAATTCCTAGGAAGAGCTTTATTCACAGACTTGTACATTGTGTTCTTTCTTAAAGTATTCATTTATCTTTATGGGTGTGTGTATTTTGCTTGCATATAGGATTGTGCACTGCTTGTGTGCCTGGTACCAGTGGAAGATAGAAGAAGGCTTCCATTTCCTGGAACTGGAGTTACAGTCCCTAGAGAGCTGCCATGTGGGTGCTGGGAATCAAGTTCTCTGGAAGATGATCCAGTGCTCTTAGCCACTGAACCATATGTCCATACCATTGTTTTTCTTTTCTTCAGGATATATCTCCACTGCTAGACCCATGCGACAGTTCCAGCATGTTCTATTTTCCAGTGTGAGAATAAAGAATAACTTCCCTCATGGTCACTGACAGTCCCACAGCCTCTAGTGACTCTTCATTACTAAAACATTTTCTTTAATTTTTATTCAGTGCTGGAATTCGAAGAATATACTACTACTGAAGTATATCTCAACCCCTAGGGACTTCACAAATGATAAATTAAGTGACTTACACCATATCAACTGGATAGAATCAAGAGACTCTGTCTTCAATAATCACAGATTCATGGACACTTGGAAAGTAATTTCTTTTATTCACTGTTTGGTGCTGCAGAGGAAAGCTGCCTGGATCTGAACTGAAAATGGGTTCTGTAACAATCTTCGTCATTCCTCACACCTGTCTTTCAGTTTTGCTCCAGGATGACATCACTGAAGCCATAACATGTGCAAAGAAGGTTGTGAGTGATTTAGAAGGCATCAGAGCATGGTATGTTGGAACTTTGAAAGGGGGAAAAACTTCTGGTTCTGTTGATTTATGCAGTGAGTCTTTCTAAGGCTCAAGTGTCATTATGAGCTCTACAAATACAGCTGGGGCTTTTATCTACACCATTACTTGAAGTAATTTCTCCAGATTGTGAGAACCCTCACATTTTACTACTCCTTTGTCAGGCCTCCAGATTATTTGTAGATCAGTTCACTGTACCATGCGTGTAATGTCACATTGACATTGAGCATCCTGTGCTGCGCTGAGGGTTTTGAGAGATCCATACTGCCATGTAGACATAGCTGCATCAATCAGCAGTAGTTTCTAGATGAGTCTACAATCCATATTTCACATTAGATCTTGGCCCAGGTCAGAATCTCCATTAGTGTCACTGTTACACTATCTCCCTGCAAATGTTTGAGAATGCGTGTGGCAGGGAGACAATTTTTACCATTTTTCCTCTGTATTACTTTCTCCCACAGGAGGGCATGGAGAGCCAAATGTGAAAACCGAGATATCACCAAGTATCTTCAGAACTGCAGAGTCTAATCACTGGACACTACCACTGCAGCTCATTCTGTTTCTTTCTCGCTCTAGAAGTAGTTATGGGAAAAATCACACTTTCTTGTTTTCCCCATCAAACAAGCAGGCTTTAAACAAAAGCAGGAGCAAAAAGGAGAGTGTTTCCTAAAAGGTTTCTGCTGCCTTCTTCATTATTTTAAGCAAAGCCTCAGTTTTTCAGTTAGATAATGCAGCAGATGGTGGTGTCAGTGATCTAACACTTTGGCCATCAAACATATCTCTATACTTCAGTTATTCACTTATGAAGTAATTCACATCAAGTTTCACTGGAATTGATCTTCATGTCTCCCTTGTTGGAAAGAATTAAAACAAAACATTGATACGAGACAAGTTGATCTCAGGTAAAATGGCAGCTGTGTGAGCTCCCAGGCCTTGTGTGCAGGCCCAGCACCCAGACAGTTAGAACAGCCACTGTATGAGGAGAGCTGGAATTTTAAGGAAAAAGAACTCTGAGTGAATATAATTATACTCAGAAACCTGTTGGCATGAACTCTGTGACCTTTCAAAAAATTATTTTCCTAGAACTTGTCCATTTATACCACTTAATTCTCACTCATGTGTCAGTCTATTTTAACCCTTGAGAGAGTATTCCCATCCCCTTGCTGATCATGAGGTATTCCAGAGAGATTAGTGTCTGTGCTAGCCCTTAGCTTTCTTAAAGTAGCTTCATGCATATCAGCTAACTCTGAGACAGATGAGCTTGGATCCTCAAAACTAAGAGCACTGTGAAAAACTACAAATTACCATTAAATCATTTCAATGTACATGTTGTCTGTGTTTACTTTCATATGGTGTCTCTGGGGGAAATTGTTTATATATTAGGAAAAACAACATGGCACTCTCACCTGCAATTAACCATCATCTACATGCTCACCTCCACACAACCAGTGTCTACATCCTCACCTACTAATAACCACTACCTACATCCTCACCACACATAACCAGCATCTTCATCCTCACCTAAATAACAACTGTGCCTATATCCTCATTTATAGATAGTGGTTGCCTATATCCACATCTACATATAGCATCTGCCTATATCCTCACCTGCATGAAGCATGTATCCACATCCTCACCTACGTTTACATGCAATCAGGTGAATATTTCTGTGGTAATATTCAAGAGCAACCTGACCAATCCCTCTTTTCCCTAATGGGCTTATAACAAAGTAATTCCCACATTATGATTATATCTTGCCATCTAGTCCTCTTGGGTGTTTACTTCTTTTTATTCTAGAGTTTTCAAACGTTCTGTTAACTACCTAATGTGGGATTTCTTTCAGCTTCTTTTGTAGTCATTTAGTGCTATGGACTTTCCTCTTAACACTGCTTTCATTTTGTCCCAAAAATTTGGGTATGTTTTATGGTCATTTTCATTGAATTTTTGGAAGTACTAAATTTCTTTCTTTATTTCTTCCTTGGCCCATTGATGATTCATTTGAGTACTGTTTAATTTCCATGTGTTTGCAGGCTTTCTGAAATCAGTGTTGCTGTTGAATTCTAATTTTAAGCCATGGTGATCTGATAAGATACGTGGGGTTATTCCATTTTTTTTTTGTATCTGTTGAGGTTTGTTTAGTTACCTAGTATGTGGTTCAGCTTTTGAGAAGGTTCTATGAGGTGCTAAGAAGAAAGCATGTTCTTTTATGTTTGGATTAAATATTCTATAGATGTCAGTTAAGTCCATTTGAATCATAACATCTGTTAGTTTCCTTATTTCTCAGTTAAGTTTCTGTCTGGCAGACCTATCCAGTGGTGAAAGTGGGGAGTTGAAGTCTCCCACTACTAGTGCATGGGTTTTAATGTGTGATTTAAGTTTTAGTAATGCTTCTTTTACATATGAGGGCGCCCTTGTATTTGGGGCATAGATGTTCAGTATTTAGATTTCCTCTTGATTGATTTTTCCTGTGACTAATATAAAATGTCCTTCTTTGTATCTTTTAATTTATTTTAGTTTGAATCTATTCTTGTTAACTCTTAGGATTCAACAAAACAAGCTACATCAGCTTGTTTCTTAAGTCCATTTGTTTGGAAAAATTTTTACCAACCCTTTATTCTGTGGTTGTATCTGTCTTTGAAGTTTAGATGTGTTTCTTAAATAAAACTGAAGGATGGATTCTGTTTTTGTTTGCAATATGTTAACCTGTGTCTTTTTATAGGTTGAGTCCATTTATATTAAGGGATGCTAATGACCAGTTATTTCTAGTTTCTGTTAATTTCCTTTTTCATTCTTGGTGATGTAATTGTGTGTGTTTTTCCCTTTTTTGGGATTTGCTGTTGTGAGATTATGTATTGTCTGTGTTTTTGTGGATATAACTAACTTCCTTAGATTGTTTTTTTTATTGTACTTTGTATAGGGTTCGGTTTGTGGCTAGGTATTAGCTAATTCTGAGTTTGTTGACAGGTATTGATTAAATATGGTTCTGTTATTGAATATCTTATTTTGTCCATCTATGGAGATTGTCATAAATTAATTGAATTCTAGGAAGTCTTCAGTTTTTTTATTTATTTCTTCCTTGACCCAGGGGTGGTTCAATAGTGCATAGTTCAATTTCCATGAGTTTGTAGACTTTTTGAAAGTATTATTGTTGTTAAATTATAACTTTAAGCTCTGGTGATCTGATAAGATACAGTCTTGGGGGTTACATCATTTTTTAATATTTGTTGAGGTTTGCTTTGTTACTGAGAATTTGGTCAGTTTTAGAGAAGGTTCCATGAGGTGCTGAGAAGAAAGTATATTTTTTTTTGTTTGGGTAGAATATTATGTAGATGCCTGTTAAGTCCATTTGAGTCATGACATCTGTTAATTCAGTTATTTCTTTGTTAAGTTTCTATCTGGTTGACCTGTCCACTGGCAAGAATGGAATGTTGAAGTTTCCTACTATTAGTGTGTGGGGTTTGATGTGTTATTTAAGCTTTAGCAAATATTTCTTTTACATGGGTTCTCTTGTATTAGGAACATAGATGTTGAAGATTGAGACTTCAACATGATGGATCGTTCGTGTTATGAGTATAGTGTCCATCTCCATCTCTTCTGATTGATTTTAGTTTGAAGTCTATTTTGTTAGATTTTAGAATGGTTGCATCAGTTTGTTACTATGTCCATTTGAACAAAAAATCTTTTCCCAACCCTTCATTCTGAGGTAATGTGTAGTAATAAGGGCGGCGGGGCTGCGTCCCCAGCACCCCAGCCACCCGCATGGCTAGCTTATGCCCGAAATAACAACACACAAACTGTATTCATTTAAACACTGCTTAGCCCATTCTCTTCTAGGCTAATTCTCACATATTAATTTAGCCCATTTCTAATCATCTGTGTGTAGCACCCCAAGGTGCGCTTACAGGGAAGATTCTAGCCCATGTCCATCCTGGGTCACAGCTTCATTCCGGGAGCAGGGCATGGCGTCTCTCTCAGGCATCTGCTCCAGAGAGGAGAGCTGTCGAGACTGAGCTCACTTCCTCTTCCTCCCAGCGTCCTGTTCTGCCTACTCCTCCCACCTATCTTCCAATCAATAAAATGGGCCAAGGCAGTTCCTTTATTAGCCAATGACCTTCCTCCATCATTTCCCCTTTTTCTGTTTAAATAAAAAAAGCTTTAACTTTAACATAGCAAAATTACATATAACAAAACAGTTATGAAGTAAAAGTTACAATAATCTTTATCATAACTAAGGAAAACTATAACTATAACTAACTATTCTTAACTCCATCAAAGACTCCAGAAAGATACAATACTACCTAAGCAAACAAGAAAAAAGCAACTTTTAATACTCTAGAAATGACAGAGACATCTCGCTGCCTGGACAGTCACCCAAAGTTCCTCTGTACAATTGGGGCATCCATCTTCAGCCTTCAGGCCCATGGTATCCAGCAGACATTTCCATAAAGCAGGAAAATTCAAAGTCAGTTCAGTCACTATCTGTTGTGTCCTGCAGAATGTCTCGCAGACTCTTTCAAAATGAATCAGGAACCCCGAAAGATCATCTCACCTTAGGCAAGTTCAGTAGTCCTTTCTCTGTGGGTTCTCTGTGTCCAGTTTATGCAATAGTCCAGGCAAGAGCAGTTTCATGCCCAAATGGCTATCAAACTCCATTAGGTGCCTCTTCGATGCCCATCTTCCTCTTGAAGTACAATGGTGCTGCCAGGAGCAGAGTGTCTCATTGTCATGAAAAGTCCTCAGTTATTAAAACATTAAATGTCCTATTCTGTAATCTTTGAAAGACATGAGGAATGTCTATCTAAAATATATCTCTATATATCTAGAAAATATTAACTAACATGACTACAAACTTGACTATTATGATTATCTATTAACTACCTATATACATTACATTTTTAAATGAACTACACAATCACAATACCTTAATCAAAATCAGAAACACTTATACATATACCAAAATTGACCTTAAATCTCTATCAATAAAGCAAAATCTATACTAATGCAAATTATTCATATCTATATCATATCCTCCTTTAAATGTAAAAGAACGTTTATAAACCATATTTGGGAACATGGGCGCAGTTTTTTCTCTCCAAACTGCTTCCTGCTGAATGGGGGCATCGTTAATGAGGTCTTTCATGGTATAACCTGTGTGCTAGTTTCATCTCAGTTGGCAGTTGAGCAAAGCAATTTTCTGAAGATGTTCACAGCACCCTTCAGGAGGGCGTGGTCCATCATACCAAATCGGAATAGAAGAAATGAACAGCGTCTCATCCTCTGTGAAAACAAAATAAGAAACTCCTTTCCAAAGTATCATGTCCTTAGATCCAAATTTCAAAGTCAAGGCATCAAAATATCTATGTTGGGTTAGTTCAGCAGCATTTATAAATAAATATCTTTTAGCAGCTGTTGCTCCTTCCTCAGCATTCAAACAATTCAAAGAGAGCATAATAGCACACAGTATCAAGATTCTCTGTGTATTTTCCATCTTTGTGCACTTTATTTTAACCTCTATTTTGTTTATTTTTACTTTTAACTTTTTGCTTTTTGAGATAGGTTCTCTGTATCTTTGACCTGAAGTAACTCTGTAGACCAGGCTGTCTTTGAACTCTCAGAGGTCCGCCTGTCTCTGCCTCCCAGGCATTCGGGATTAAAGGTGTTTGCTACTACACCTTGAACTCACAGAGATCTGTTTGTCTCTGCCTTTTAGGCCCTGGGATTAAAGGCGTGTGCTACCACGCCTTGAAGTCACAGAGGTCAATCTCCCTCTGCCTCCCAAGTGTTGGGATTAAAGGTGTGTACTACCACACACAACAACTCTCTTACTTTTTTTTGTTTTTTACTTTAAGAACTTCAACTTTAGTCTGCATATATTTTTAACACACTTTAAACCATTTAGAAATTTTCTTTGTCTTTGAATCTCTCTTTACTGTTTATCTCTCTTTTTCTGACCACACGAGCCTTTAAATTACTGAGCAATATGGGTAGGATTAAAGGCGTGGCTTTGCCAGCTAGATCCAGTCCATTCCTTAGCTTTCCAGCCTCATGGCTGAGGTACCAGCTGTAGGCATGTTTACTGCCACAACTCTATGGCATTTCAAGGTCCCTGCCAGCATGTGAGTTTCAGCAGCCTGTGCTTGCAAACCGCACGAACCGCCTGCGTAAAAGAGTCAGAGTTTGCCCTGACAGGACAGCCCAGAAACCTGGCATTTTTAAACGGCGCAGCTTTTTTCCTGCTATGGCTGAAAACCGGAAAGCATGCATTCAGCTTTTCGTCAACACCATATAAGTGTTTCGTGGCAGGACCTCTTAATGAGCTGCAGGC